CCCTAATCCTAAACCCCTAAACCCTGAAACCCTAGATCCCCAAACCCCTAAACCCTAAATCCCTAAACTCCTAAACCCTGAACCCCTAATCCTAAACCCCTAAATCCTAAACTCCTAAACCCTGAACCCCTAGATCCCCAAACCCCTAAATCCTATAAAGCCTTCTAAATCCTGAGCCTTACACCCTAAACCCTAAACCCTGAACCCTACAGGCCCTAACCCTAAACCCTAAAGCCTAAAGGCCCTAAACCCTAAACCCTAAAGCCTACAGGCCCTAACCCGAAACCCTAAAGCCTAAAGGCCCTTTAAGCCCCTAAACCCTAAACAAGCGCATGCTCCGGCGAGGAGCTGGAGCCTTCGGTGCCCTTGGCCGCAGTTTGTCCTCGGAGCGGCCGCTGGCACAACGGCGTCTGCGAGAGGGCGCTGCAAAGTTGGGGGTTCCGGGTTTTTCGGGGTTTCGGGTTTAGGGGGCCTTGGGTTTAGGGTTTAGGGTTTTTAGGGTCTTTTAGGGTCTTTTAGGGGTGTTAGGGTTTTTCGGGTTTCGGGTTTAGGGTTTCGGGCCTCAACGTCCGAAGCCCAAGGTCCTCATCAGGGCTCTTTTCAGGCTTCTGGAAGGCCCCTGGAAGGCTTCGAGGCTTGGTGGTGGTACCTTTTCCGTTTTTTTTTTCCTTGGGACCTTGGATGCTGATGCTGAGATTGTGGGACTTGGTGTGTTTTGAGGATTTGGGGTTGGCAGACGTCGGTGCACGACTTTGGGGGTTCATAGCATGTTTAGACAGCCTACAACCTATGGGTTTTCTCCCAAGCTCTAGATTCTAGACCCTAAACACTAAAACCTTTAAAGAACTTTCGTGATCCGGTTTTCGGCTTTCGGATCCAAGAGCTTTCCCAGGCTTCAGCTGCGAGGATATCATCCTTGGTCATGTCTTGCTCTTGCGTAGGACTGCTTTGTTGAGGTATAAGGGTATTTTGTACTGTCAGCGACACGCTGTAGTTCTAGAGACTGGCTTTGAGTCTTGTTTGTCACAAGAAAGCCAGGCCGCTGGTGAACGGGAATAGTCTCAATGCCAACAATGGTGTGAGTTCACAGTCCTGGCTGAGTGACGATTGCATCATTACAAAAGCCTGCACCGCTTCACGACACCAGCTACAGCAGAACCAAGGCTTGATGCAGAGCACCTTCCACTGGGCATTTAGGCCGTGTTTCCAAAGCCGAGATCCAGGTCTACAAACTCATTCCTTGCGAGGGGCGACGCGGACCTCCGTGATTTCCTTCGGGAGGAGTGTCTGTTCAACAATGATGGTGACGATGGTGGCTTGCATGGTTGCTCCTTCCGCTATGGCAGCCGGCATCACTACACTCACTACGCTTCTTTGTACACTTTCCCTGTCCTTGTCTCTATGAAAAACTCATGCAAATCCATAAGGCCCCGATAATCAACCCTGACAATAACCCCTCGCAGGCCTCTGGTGGCCACAAACGCGCGGCGGAAGAAGCTGAAGGAACGTTGCTTGGAGCGACTCAGAGGGTCTTAGTTCACCTTCCGACTGCAGTGGAAGTCGGTTGCACCAGGGATGCGTAGTTTGAGACACTCCAAGCTCCGTTTTGTCGTCTGTTCGCTACGGTCTGCTCAGTCTCTCTTGCACTTGATCTTGCATGCTCAGTCTTTCCTGTACTCTTGCCATTAGGCTGCGGGCTTTTGGGGCACAGCCTTGTCAAAATCCTGTCTTGCTTGTTATGACCGGGCTCAACCTTCTTGGTCTCCCAGACACCCAGATGCCGTGAGGACTAGACTTTCTGATCTTGGTGGTTCGGGATCATGTAGGAGCCTGCTTAAGAGACCCTCGTTTTCTTCCCAAAAATGTTAGGATCCACAAAAAGGAGCCTTAACAAGGGCCCAGGGGTGCTAAAATCAGGTTCCTGTATTGGGTTTGTGGTTTTGGTCCCATCAACAAGGGCTTAACTCTCAGTCGGCAAGCTTCACCAACCGGATGAAGGTAGGTGGGGTAATCCCAGAATAAGAGTCCTTATATACGGTATCCTTAATCCTACCTACCTTCATCCCACCTTGTGAGGCCTGCAATTAGGAGCGTCTTGCGTTTCTGGGTCGAAACCTTTCGCGCGTCTCGAAGGGCCTGCTGTATGCTGTGCTTGTGCGGTCGGGGTTTCTAGGCTCGGGTTTTTTTGAGTAATATAGGGGCCTAACTAATTACCATTACCATTTTTGGGGCTCCTTACTCCAACTATAGTATAATATACCCCAAAACCCTATTCTAATTGTCGAATTATTAAGGCTCCCACATTGGCTTGTGGAGAAGGATTCGTTTGCGCAGTTCCAAGGCGAGGCCAAAGAGGCTTCGGGCGGTAGCACTGGAGGAGGCAGGGAGGGTTTCAGAAGGGCTCCTGGTAAGGGCTCGAGATTCGGGTCCTTTTTAGGATACTAGACGAGTGACGACCTGGGTCCTATCGGGATACCCATTAGGGGTCTTTCTTAGGGTTTCGGGTTTCGGGGGTTCAGAGTTTCGAGGCTCCAGGGTGTTTGCTCGGTGCTAGGTCCGAAGGCTGCAGATTCTGAATCGAACACTGTGGCACCGGGGGAGGGGGGGGGGGTTGTCTGTTCCCTGCTTTGGCCCAGTCTCACCCGAAGAAGCCCATCTCTGTAGAGATGCGTCGAGTCTGACTCGAGCCTCGCGATTCAGAGGAACTAGCTTTGATGTCTGCCTTCGGTGTTTCTTCTCTAGGGTCACCCTGCTCCGTGGGTAGTTTGCCCGCAGTGTTTGGCTTCTGCCCACCACTCGGAGGGCACACTGACTTGAGACCCTTTTTTTTGAAGGGGATGGCAGAACATTGCCATTGGTGGAGGGGCTGGTCTGCTGGAAAAGGTGGATGAGGCCGTGTTGTGAGTAGATCCGGGCGCCTACAGGTCGAGTTGGGCACTTAGTATCTGCAGAGGGATCTGCCGAGAAGCGTGTTTGCCGTTACGGGCACTCGACTGGCGCACTGCTTGAAGCGGAGGTGCCGGTGGTTGCTTGGCCTAGTACCCTGAAGGGTGAGCTCCAGGGGAAAACAACTGCACTGAACGAAGCTATCGCGAGGATGGCAAGCCGTCTTGCCCGAGCAGCACTCTGCTCAGTGGGTGCAGGTGGCGGGCCTGCCCAGCGGTCGTGTTGTTCGGAAGCAAACATGCCCTCAATCGAGGCCTTGTCGTTCGTCATCGTGTCGTCGTCGGGTTGCTGGCCGTTGTTGGTTGACGTTGCATTGTGTTGTTGTGGATGACACTTTAAGCCTTCGCGCTGGAAGTGCCGCCAATGTGTCAGGCCAGGCAAAGGTCACGTCTTCGGCCTGACACATGGCTCGGTCGATGCTCACTTCGTCTACAGGGTTTAGGGGTTTGGGTTGCCGTCTTTATCTTCAACCCTAAACCTAGCAAAACCCTAAATCTTGGGTGGAGTCGTTTCAGGCAGGTTTCTCTTGCGGAAGCATGGGGTTCGAAACGGCAGCCTGGAGCGTACAACAATCAAAGGTTTATGGATCCCGTCGAGATGTCGGTGTCCTCCAAGTTGAGGTTGTTCTCTATCAGGGAACTCTTTCTTTTTTGGGGGTTCCTTGGCTGTAGAGTGATGTTTGAATACTGGTTTTCCTTGGGCTTCAAGTTTCGGGTTTAGCTCGATCTCTCCAAACTGGGACCCCAAGCCCTTCTGACCCGAGTTTTCAACGGGGCCTAAGCCCAAGATTCCTGGAGCCTTAAACCCGGACGACTGCTATGGATCTTCTGTAGAACGATATTTGGTGTTGCTTATGCCGGGGCAGCGGTGGATACAGAAGCTTCGGTAGTTACTTTCGATTGCCACTCTTTCGATTCCGATTCAAACCCTGCCCAGATGAACCCCCTTTACCCAAACCGCCTAAAGCCTAAAGCCTAAACCCTAAACCGCCTAAAGCCTAAACCCTAAACCCCAAACCCTAAACCCCAAAGCCTAAATTCTAAACCCTAAACCCCCCCAAAATCCGGGGCCTTCCTCCCTCTGCTCCATCTGCTTGAAACCCCCCCCCCAACCCCGAAGACCCTAGACTCTAAGCCCCAAGCCCCACAGCAGCTTACACAAGCTCTGAGCCCAACATTTTGGGTTTTGGTAAATTCGGGGTTCAGGGTTTGGGATTTAGGGTTCAAGGTTTGGGGATTTTAGGGTTCAGGGCTTTGCACTTCCGTGTCGGGGAGAGAAGAGACGAAATCCTGAACCCCCAAACCGTGCTCAAGCCTGATGCAAGAGCTTGTGACTCTAACCCCCGCGTTGACATGGCGAGGTTCCTTTGATGGCGCTTTTCTGGGCGAGGAAGGCGGGTCTGTGTGAGCAGGATTGTGCTTCTAGGCCTGGGTTGGGGGTCCTGGGTACGTGGTTTTGAGCCGAAGATTCCCAATCTCAGATGCCACAGACAACACAGACATATCCTCTGCTAGGCTCAGGCTGCTAAGAGGGCGTCCGGGTAAGAAGGCGTGTCGTGACGAAAGCATCGGGAAAATAGAACCCTACCATAGGCCCTTTTTGGGCTAGGGTAGTCAGCTCTTAAGCACAGTTATTCAGCTGTTGAGAAGCTAGGAGAGTGCCCATGGAAGAGCACCCTTGAGCCCCTTCTCTAGCGAGGGCTACTAGAATGAAGTACGGAACTATGGAGGTTCCTCTCAATCTGCTCACCGTCAGTATGAACCCAGTTTATGGCTCGAGCCTGCGCTCTTGGAGACATTGCCTTGTAACTTGTTCTCCAGCGCTTGCCGCAGACCATGGGGTGTGGCGGCAGTTGTATCAAGCTTGAACCGGCAAGTGTGGCTTCCTTCCACATGACAGCACCCAAGGTGGTCCCAGCAGGAGTTCCGCTTCAGCCCGACCGCGAGGATCACGATGCCTACGTAAGGAAGCTGAATGTGTGCCTGAAAAAAGTACAGAAGCATCCGAATAGCTTCCTCAAGAAGGTGGAAGCTCGACGTGCCGAATGGTTCGATGCTTTCGATGCGATCGCGCCGCAAGAGCTGCACCCTGTACCACAGCGGCCTAGCTTAGAAGTTGGTGGAAGGACCAGGACCTTCTGAGACTTGAGGATGGAGCCCCAAAGCAGCCATGGTGAGATAGAGCTAGTTCGATTGTCCTTTTCGGGCGACGCTCCTGTGTCTGCTCCTATAGAGCTGATCTGGGGCGAAATTCTTGCCCAACAGGTTCGAGTGAGCTAAGTTTTCCAAAATGTGCCAAGAGGCATGAAAGTACAGGAATTTAACTTGAGATGGTTGCCCGAAATCTGATTCGAGTCCCAAGTTTCAGGTGCATTGTTGTGGATGTTCCTAGTCTCTGGCTTGTTTTTTTTCAAGTTCTGCCTGTCGCGATTTAAACTGCCAGCTACAGTACAAATTTCGCGCTCATCGTCGTCATCACCACATCGCCACATCGCCATCATAATGACCATCATCGCTTTGGTCGTGCTGATCGTCATCACCGTCATCGTCGCCATCATCATCATCATCATCACTACCATCATCATCATCGTAATCATCATCATCAACAACAACATCATCCTCATCTCTGTCGATAGGCAGCGTCCACATGAAACGCCTTGCGAGGCTGATGGGACAAGCACTTGACTTTGCCCGGTGCCTCATGGGCGCTGCGCCATTGTGCATCCATAAAGACGAGACTTACGAAAGTCGGATGTCCGCGTCGCAACGCTGCAGCATCCCATCTCGACACGCACGTCCGCAACAACCTCTGCTTCAGATAAACACTCATTGATATGGGTCTGTTGTCGCATGACCTGTCCACACAGGAAAGCCCAGCCCACGGAGTGTCGCGAGATCTGGCTCCTCCAACGCCCAGCCGTCTCGCATATGAAACCCGATCAACAAGTTTCTCTTGCCGATGGACACGTGCATGCAGGATGCGGCCCGGCATGATTTCATGGAACTGCACATCAGTGGCTGCGCAGACTCGGGTCGATATGCAGATTGCGAGACTTGCCCATCCATGCTTGGGATCAGGACTAGGGACGACATGCCACCCTGGAACGGAGCACTCACCCAGTTGTCGTCCCAATCCATATTGAGTTTCCGGAAACAACAGCACATCGTAGAGACCCTTGTTGTCTTGCACCCAATTCATGAGGATGTCGTAGGTGGAGGTGCGTACTCCCCCAAGATTCATGGAAAGGACTTTGAGTCTTTTCCCCCTTCGGCTCTGCTGCGACCCGGCTCCTGTTTGTGGGCAACGGCTGGGCCGGTAGTGGCTGGTTGCCCAGCTGTCTCAGACTAAGTCGTTGACCTCTGTACATAGTGGTGCCGTCATCCGACATCGCTGCTCGCTGCAGCGCACGGTTGTATGCCCTTTAGGCAACACGCAATCGGCCTGGGGCCTGTTGCGCCTCTCCGCGATGCTTCGCCTCAATTGTCCGAGCGTTTGAGTTCTTCGAATCGGCTTCAGCGACACTTGCCGCAATCGTCGCAACCCTCGCGTGTGATTCAGCCATAGTCGTCATCTCAATGGTCATCCCCTGAGGAGTTGGCACCCCAGCGGCCCGACGAGGAATCAGGATGCAGGTTCGTCAAGTGTGTCATGTGTCCCAGGATGCAAACAGGAGACGTGTGTAGCAAAACCAGGCGAAAGAGGGTCATTGTGTAATCGAATGGGCTGTGGGACCTTCGCGCAGAGCACCCACGTCCCGGAAAGAAGAGGGATAGTGATGCGCACGTGCTACCGATATGTGGGGCCGAGACGCTCCATCAACCATCATCATCATCACCATCATCATCCTCACCATCATTAGCATCATCATCATCATCATTTTGTACTACTTTTCACTATGATCATACTCGTCACAATCGATCCATAACACACCATCAACAAAGTTTTCAAGATCGTCATTGTCTTACCAGAGTAGCAGCAGCGGCAGCAGCAGCAGCAGCAGGAGGAGTAGTAGTAGTAGTAGTAGTTGTAGTAGTAGCAGTAGCAGTAGCAGTAGCAGTAGTAGTAGTAGTAGTGCTAGTAGTAGCAGCCAAAGGCTTCCAGCTGCATCTATCTGTAGCGCTACCTCGCAAGTGAAATTTCAATCGGGGCATGAAG